ACGCGCAATGGACTCCCGATATAATATTTCGGGAACTAAATACGTAATTGATCAAATCAATAAAGTCTTAATACTTGATACACCTATCACTTATAAGAATTTAGAGCAAACATTATGTGGAATGTCTGATTTATATGCGGAAAGAATAGATGCGAATGTTAGTCGGGTACCCTCTGAACCTACTCCTTTGGTTGAAATTGAAGAAGATGATACCGAAATAATGAATTTATTTCAAGGCATTAATACATTTAGATATTATGCAACTGCAATGTGTTCACCTAGTGCTATGTCGTCTACATTTGCATCTCATCAAGCATCGACCGCAACTCAAAATGAGATGCATGCTGAATTAATTGATTACTTCGATCATAATATGCCAATAGACAAAACAATTAAAAAAAATTCAGAAGAAGTAATTGAATTTTGGCGAAAGTATGAAAGACGTTGGCCAATTGTTTCTACAATTGTGAAAGATTTGCTGACACCTCCGGTTAGTACCGTTCTTCGGAGTCTGCTTTTAGTGCAGATAAAATGATTCTAACTGATGTCAGGAGCTGACTGAAAGAAGATATTTCGGAAGCGTTATTGTGCGTGAAGGATTGACAGGACATTCATTTTCGACTACAAGATAAATACGCTGAAATTGCATGTCGTCAGGTAAGTAATATTTGATTTAATTATATTAATCAAAATTTTCTTATTTTTTAATCGTTAAATTTAATTTTCTTTAAAAAATTGTACACGTTACAACAAGTTGTTCGTGTGCAATTTTTAACTCCGCATACTTGAAATTGATGTTGTCGGTCCCAAGACTGGATAAAGGAGGAAAGTTTACATTTTATCTACTTTAAAAAGAAAGCAAAAAATGTATTTTTTGTAAATATATTTCAAAAAACAATTCGTCTTCATTATATAAATATTTTATATTTTATAAAAAAATATTACAATATGATATAAATAAAAAAAGAAAAAAGTGTCTTTATTAAATTATTTGTATTTTTTTTAACTCTTTTTATTTTTTTTAAAAGTGTTTTTCATTAATGATTTGTGTTTTTCTCTATTATATATATATATGTGTGTGTGTGTGTGTGTGTGAGACAAGCTTGCGAGCCAAAGCTCGGCTCAGCCCATGAGCTCGTGGCTCGCCGAGCTCAAGCTTCAATGAGCCACGAGCTTGGCTTTCCACAAGCACGAGCTAAGCTTGTGAGGTTAAGAGCCGGGCTGGCATCACTACAAACGGTGCTTAATTTGAAGACAATCTTTTGACGGACACACAAATCCAAATTTGGTGAAAATATTGTCATCATTCTGATAGAGAATTATTTCTGTATTTATGGCATGTGAATTTTGATTATACATTTATCTGTTTGAAATAAAAAAATAAAATAAAATAAAAATCCTTTTGATTTGGCAATGGGGCCAATGCTTACAATATCTAGAAAGCCGTTCCAAAATTGTGTGTGCGTGACAATGTAGCCAACTTGGGCTGGGACATTGCAAGCTGTCAGCATGCAGGTGGGTTCAATTGGCGATTGCAAGTGGGGAAAAGAATTGAAACATGGCTAGTCATTCGTTGAATTTTCATGTTCATGCAATGTGGGATGCACAATTTTCGTAACAAGATCATGAAGGTGTTTGTAATTTTTATTATTATTATTTTTTTTGGTAAATATCATTGTGATTTGCTTTTGGGAAAGGTCACTCATAGAAGAATTTAACGAGTGTCAGTGACTCAAATAAAAAAGAATAAGTTGAATGTCGATTTTACTTGAAAAAAATAAAAAAAACTTGTAGAAGTGTGTCTTTAATATTTTTACATTATGTTTTTGTTCTCGAGAAAATGCTTTCTTGGTTGTGCTTTCCACACAAAGTTTTGCAAAGAAGGATTTCAGTTTTTTCTTGTTACGTTGGCTAAGACATGTCACTTTTTCTCGTATAAGTGGTCGATTTCTTGAATTTTATAACAAATTTGCTTGTCTAATAGGACTAAACACACGCGCGCACACAGAGGGTCAGCCCTGAGAATTTAGAGACCCTAGGCATTTAATTATTATGGACCCTTCAACATAATATTTATTTTACAAGTGCAATAATATGTAAATATATAGATAATTAATACTTTAATATTATAAAGAAAATGTTGTACAATTGAAAAGATAGAACAACAAAATAAAACTTCTCTTAGAGATTATAAATTATTCACATCTCTCAACTGCTGATTAAACTTTTACATAATGTAATTCATTAAAATATCAGAACAGACAAAACTTTTAACTTCAAGTCTCTCTGCAATTGAATTGTTGAACGGTTACAAGTTTGGCTTTTAGTATAATAAATCTAACTCATTTTGGAGTGAATCTGGCTGATTTTGAGCATGTCCGGTTCTTAAGTACTTTCATGGGATTTATTTTTCAGTTTTTTTGCTGATAACCGGACCGATTTTAAGTTTTCAAGTTGAAATGGCAGATCAAGTCCAACTTTGATAACACTAGTTGAAACGAGAGTTTACAAGGCATAATGAGACATTTTCATCAGTCAAAGATCTGAATAATGCAATTTTTCCTTTTATCTATGTACTCATCTAAACAAAAACAAATATGGGAATCTAATATTTGATTCAGTGACCTAAAGTGACAAAAAACAAAACCTCATTCATTCCATCAGTCAGCAATATCGAAAAACATAAACAAGTATGAAATAGGCGAGGCCGTGGGTGCACAGTAATATGAATACCTTGTTAAGGGACAGTGTTAGGGGAAGGAGTTTAAGAGGAAGTGTTTCGTGTAGTTTCCAGCAGCAGACTGATATTAGACTTCAAGTGAGCAACCAACAACGCTGCAATAGCCATAAGAAGAAGACAAAGAGGCCGAACCTGTAGTTGGGTAATCAGATTTCTCGCCGAAAGTTTTGTTGGTGCATTAGTAGGTTTTAATTTTTAGGGATTGGGTATTCTCTGTTTTCCTTTTCGGCTACCCAAATTTTTGTTTTTTTTTAAGGGACGAGTGGTTTCGGATTTGGCCGGTTTTGGCTTTTTTTTTTTTTTTTTTTTTTTTTTTTTTTTTTTTTTTTAGCTCAGGGGGGGGGGGGGGGGGGGGAATAATAATAATTTATTTGCTCCAAATATTGTATTACGCTAAGTCCCTATTTGTTTTAGATTATAATCAAATTAAAATTTTATGTCAACTCACAACTTTTCATTTACACATTCAAGTAACTATTATCAAAATCTAATTTCAATCTATAGCAAACAGAGATTAAATTTATCTTTACCAATCAAATTCGATGTACCATACGCGCCCTTTGGGATGTATCAAATTACTTGTTATTTCCCAAAATATGCATGATTTTATTCTGTCCCTACTTGATTTAGATAAAAATCATACTTGTAGAAAATGTTGATAAAAGTTGATTAAATGCAAGATTAAAAAGTTATGAATACTAAATGTATAATTAAAATTAATTGTTAACTTTGATTTAAATTTTAATTAATTTTTTTGGTACTTTGTAAATGGATATTCATAGGGATGGCAATTTGAACCGTCAAAATCAAAAATCGCGATTAACCGAATTGAATGGGGCGAAAAAAATCGAACTGATGGTGCAATAGGGCGGATATGATTTTTATTTTTATGAACTGGTTCGTGGCGGTGCGGGTATGGTATTTACGCCGTCGAACCGAAATCGAACCGATTACCCACTAAAAAAAAAATCAATTGAATTGATTATTGAACTTTACACTACTTTTCTATCTAGCCAAAAACAAAATCCTCCCATTACATTTACATGACTCAGCCGGCCAACCCACTTACTATTAGCCCAAAATAATAGTATTAGTATGACAGTATATAAATGCAAACCCTACTCTCCACAGACCACAAACTCACGCACGGCTTTTTTTATTGTTAATTTTTTCTATTGTGTGTAGAAAATTCTACTTCTTCATCATACTCTAGAGCTTGTGTAACGTTTAGAGAGAAGGAAGCTGACGAAAAGGAACATTTTTTATTTAAATCCTAGTTAAGACCATTCTAAAATAGGTAGTATTGTCGTATTCTCTACTTACATTTCTTATTTATTATATATGAATTAACTTTGAGTGTTGATCTATGCTAGTAAGACTTGTGGGGAAGAATAAATCAAGTAATTTCTATGCACAATAATTAAGAATGAAGGAAAAATTTAGTATTGTTATATTTATAAGATTGTTTGTTAAATTTGTATTTTACAATTGAAAATTTGGATCATGTTTGCATTTTCATTTGGAATATTGTATTTTTATTTTCATTGACTTTTTTCATAAATTGTTTTATATCAATTTGACGGATGAACCTATAAAAAATAATTTATTTTCGTGGTTATTAACCGAACTGAACCGTGTCGAACCGAGATGCGAACTGAACCGAACCGAACAATTTACGTGGTTATGGTGCAGTTATGGTATGATCAAAAAATTGGTGGTACGGTTATAATTTTGGCCGAACCGACCCATAACCGAACCGTTGCCAACCCTAGATATTCATTAAATATCAAAATAAAAAATATAATCCGGTAGAAATTGGGATAAACGAAGTGATGGGCTATCAAGAAAGGAAAATTCTACTTGTATATAATTATTGCACATAATGATGTCCATAATGTGATGTGACAATCATCCAATTGTTGATGTGCAAATATGTAATTTGAATTAAAAGTTGGATTCAGTGCCACGTGTAATTATGGACACGATTATGTTAAAAATTATGTACATATAGCACTTCTCATAAAAAAAACACAATATCCAGAAAGCCACGAAGAATAATCCGACGGTTGAGGAACGGCCATCCGCGGAAACTCGGAGCTGCCATTACCAATACTTGGGAATTACACACCACAAAGCCCCTCGCCAACTAACCCTACTCTAGTTTATCTTTTGTTCAATTATAGTAAAATATATATATATAGAAATAAATAAATAAATAAATTTCTTTTCTCTTTACATATATATGCTATGCACCCTTCTTTCTTCTTTCAAGCCTAATTATTATTCTCTGTCTACTTCCTATCTCTAGCACAGTTTCTTGTATATCTCCCCTTTTGTCCTCAATTTTCACCCCTTAATAAACGACAAGGTTTGATTTATTGAGAAAAAAAGATGAGTTGCAATGGATGCCGAGTTCTTCGAAAAGGATGCAGTGAGAATTGCATTCTTAGGCCTTGTTTACAGTGGATTGAAAGTTCTATAGCCCAAGGTTATGCCACTGTCTTTGTAGCCAAGTTCTTTGGCCGTGCAGGTCTCATGTCCTTCATTTCCGCCGTCCCAGTTAACCATAGGCCTGGTAAATTTCTGCAGTTTCTTTATTTTGTAATCACTGACAATGAAGAAAATTAAGATTGTTACTGTATATGTAAATGTGCAGCTGCTTTCCAGTCCTTGTTATATGAAGCTGCTGGAAGGACAGTGAACCCTATAAATGGCGCTGTTGGCCTTTTATCAACCGGAAACTGGAATGTTTGCCAGGCGGCGGTGGAGACCGTCCTCCAAGGCGGCAAATTGCTGCCGATTTCGCTTGATGATTCTTTGGAATGCACGGCTGACATATACAAGCTCCAAAATCCTAGCCTAAATTCAAGGCACAAGGTGCAAAAGCGCCGACGTTTACCAGATGAACTCGGAAAATTAATGCAAGAAGCTGATCTTGATCTGAGTTTAACAAGTGGGTTTGAGTGGAAAACGCCCAGCCCTTTTGCTGAGAAGCGCCGAATAGGGAGCCCTTCAATGAATTCTGAAGAATCTGGGACAAGTACATGTGAAAATCAGCTACCAAGTAAAAGAAAGCTTCTTAATTTATTTAATTAGGTCAAAGAAATTAAGCTGTAAAATTCTTTTTATTAGGATTAGCTGTCCCGAAATAATATTCCGGCGAGTTTTTGTAAACCACTGGTACAAGACTTCCCTACTTCTCTTCTTGATTATGATCTTTTTTTTTGGCTATATATTAAAAAAAAAAAAAAAGTATGGTTCAGATGTTAGACCATGGATGAAATGAAATCAAGAGAAATATGGTATAGATGAAGATGATAATGAATTAGGAGTAAAAATGTCTAATATTATTCTTGTTCTAGCCTAGGCCTAGGGTATATCTTTTCCAAGATTATTATATGAGGATTTTTCAGTCAAATGCACTAACTCACAATCTATATGTACCATTTTCAACTTCATGGATTTTTCTCCTCTACCAACATGATCTGGTAGAGTGGTCTTTCTCACGGCAATGGGTTCCACATTGAGACTCATTATTAAAAAATTGCCAAAAAACACTTGCCCCACTCTCCAAATGTGAGTGGAACTGTTCTACCAGATAATTACCAAATTTGATAGAGCAGCACGGAATATCATTTAGGGGTCAAACTTTGACCTGGCTACACCTCAGATTGGTCTAAGCATTACTCAGAAAGCAATTCATAGTAAATTAATTGGAAACACACAGTTGAGATTGGAACGCTGCATGCCTTGGCCAGTAATTGGCCTTCACTACCAACAATAAAGAAAGGCTTGGCTTTTGGAGGGGTGTAAAGAGTTGTATATAAGTACGGTACAATGGATAGACAAATAATGAGCAATGTTTTTTTTTTCCTTTTTTTTTATGGGGGGCCAAGAGCTTATTATTAATCTGATTTAGACAGAGGGTGGGTCTTCCACTTGATATATATGTATATTCGATTTCACAATATATATATATATATATATATATATATATATATATGTATGTATGTATGTATATATATTATTTCGTACTAGAATATATTTTTTAAATATCTTTTCATCTCTTCAATACTATAAAATTCAATTTACAAGATGCGTGAAAAAGACATTTTGTATGTTAGACTTAGCCCCTTCTTAGTTTTGTTAAAATCAAAGTTTTAATAAAGTCAATAAAAATTATAAGTATTATAAAATGTAATTAAAATTAATTATTGACTCTGACTGAAATTTTTATCATCTAAAGCTCAATTGGGTTGGTCTATGTTGGCATCATTTTAGGATATGATTTCATTTTGAAGTTGCGTAAAATTGAGAGGAATTGGTTTTTTCTTTTTCCCCACTTTGGAGCATCCTTCTGATGGGTTCCACCACATTTTGGGTTCTTGAATTATTGAGAAGAATTATATGATTAATTTCTCTATTGATCAAACCCAAGCCGCGCCTCCCCCGCATTCCTAAAAGCCACGTGGGACCTTCTTCCCTAATTTGGGTTCGGTTGCACTTAGCTGACGAAAAATATGTTAATTAGTGTCAACTTAGTGTCCAATAAAAATATATGAGTTTGGTTTATGTTATATCCGAGCATGCATATTCAAGCTAAGTCAAAATAAGGTCGATATCAATGTTTATCATGATTTGTGTCTTTATGTGTTATAACCAAAAACTCACTCATTCGATACCACATCGGTGCATAAATTTTGAGATGAGTCAATTTCCTATCGAAAATCAAACAATTTCAAGTGCGGAAGGAAAGTATATTTTAGAGTAATATAATAAAATTGTCCATCTCAATTATTTGTACGAGTTTCACAATGATTTATGTTTCCTTTTTCAAGTTTTTCCTCGTATACAGAAGTCGGGTTCTGTTCAAATAACTCACAAATTGTGGGTCCACCTGAATAAAAAATGGCCAAAAATTAAGCCACCCTCCCCCTCTCCTATTGTGAGGTGTCAATAAACAGAACCTCTATATGTACACCAAGCTGGTTTCTTCCTACTCAATGAGAACTATTAGGCTTGTAACCAACCAACCAATCACGACTTCAAAGAAGTAGCTTAGGCTGCTAATTACAATAAGATGATTGGTAGGTTTGATGAATCAAAACAAATTAATTGTTGTTTTCAATACTTTATTATTATGCCCCAAAAATTAAATATGGGTGAGAGAGACAGAGGCCATACTGCAAGTCTTGAATACCATACATTTGTGATTGAATTATTTAGCCAACCACGACAAATTCCAAGCTTCTTGGCGCAGATGCAAATATACTAGAGTGAACAGATTTATTATTTATTATTGCAAGTTGCAACTAAATGGTCAAATTTTGCCATCTACATTTGATACGATGGCTTTTGAGATTCGCAATGTTGGGAATTTTTGATTGCGTGGTTAATTAAATCCTTATATAATATTATTTTTTAATTTCCATGGTCATAAATGGAAGGACGGTTTCGAGAGTTGTCAAGGCCATTTATTCTCTCTTTCCCTCACACCATTTCCTAAAATATTAAAAAGAGGAGAGTTGGTTTCTACCTTCGAAGCCAATTCTTTTGTTTACTACTCATAAGACGTCACCCATTATGTCACTGCACTGATGAACCTCTTTGTTCCTTCTGTTTTCTGTGTCCATCGGTTTTATTTTCATTTTCTTCTTTCAGATTTGGTCTCATTTCTTCTCTACAAGCAACGAGCCGTACTCGAACTCGGCTCGTCTTTCACTAGCCACAAGCTCGACTCGCCACGAGTCTGAGCCGAGCTCGTGGGTTAAAGCCTACTCGACCCATTGCCACCACTAGCAATATGTAAGAAAATAGTCAGACAAGAGATTCGAATCGTTACAAAAAATGAGCATTTTTGTAAAGATCCAGTATCTTCACCCAAGTAGTTAACTTACGTACCATTTGCTTTGGAAGAGCCTAACCTACCTTATCTCTCATGACTTTTTTCCGCTTTCCAATGATTCGAACATGTGATCTCCTCTTAAGAGATATTTAAGTTGAATCACGATACCAATTAGGTAAGTTGTCCAATTGCTATTAAGATACAACTTAAGTTTCTCATAAGTTAGAGGTCTTAGGTTCGAATTATGGGAATGCGACAAAAAATCTTTGATGGATAAGATGGGCACAATCTCACCCTCAACGAATAGTACGTAAGAGGACGGCTGGGCACGAGGTTTGGATCGTTACAATATATTAATGAGATTCTTATGTTTACCTTTCATATAATCATTTTAGGTTATTGTTTATATTACACTCTTTTAGTTTCTTGTGGAGTTGTGGTTCCTTCTGCTAATAAACAATCCGTTCAAAAAAGATGGAAATCATCATCCTTTTCTTTTCCTTTCTTCACACAACCCATATGCTCTCAAAGATTGCATTAGATGTCTACTGAAAGAGAGCTTTCTACATAGAAAATTTGTGCTGCATTTATCCATAATCGTACATTTAACTACACATTATAACATCATAGACTATTCAAACTTATTTGCTTAATTTTATGTAGTTCAATTTCAATATAGCAATAATTTAATTGTGTATATTTTGATCTTATATTTACCTATAAATAATTCATATAGTAAAACAAAGTTCAAGCAGCTATATTTGCTCAAAACATCAAAGCACTTGAAAACACTTTGGCGCCGTCGAAGGTATACTTGATCTAAAGTGCATGCGTGAAACAAACAAATGAATGATATAGATCAAGTTGTGAAAATACACAGTGGATGATTCGTGGTTCAACTTGAATAGAAGAAATAAATGAAAACCATAGCCCTCTTGTGGAGTCATGCTTCCTATTCACAAGATTAGATGAACTTCACAAGTACATAGACATGGACATTAAAATAAGTAATTCTTGCTGTTAGCACAAATGTACTTATTACACAGCTATACTTTCACGCTAATGCATATTAAAAAATTTACAAATTTTGTATGTAGCATTTGTTGGTATTGTTACTGATGTTCTCTCGAAATGAAAGATTCCAACCAACAAAAATGTAGATTTAACTGCCCAAAACATTGTTCTTGTGATTGAATGTTGAGTATATATCAAGCTAAACTTTAAACACAAACTAATGGATTCCCAATTATTGAAACTGATTCGAATTTTCATAACTTCGTATACAGATTGCAAGCAACTATATTAAGTATCTGGGACAATTTTATTAATCATGAAGACGTCAAGATTACTGAGTATCTTATGAAAAAACCAACGATTGTAGATGTTACGCCCCTATCTGAACTGCCTCAGGACGCCCACCACCACACATTCCAACCTGATAGACACCCGTCCGAAGTGTTTCTGAAGTGATATCACCAAATGTCAACAACCTAGTAGCACACTGCGATGTATAGGCGATCCTGCTGAACTGACCGAAGCTCTTCGCCTCCGAAGCCGAGGCCAAGTGGACCCCTGTCAGAGAATCTGCCGCCAATTTCAGAAAGAGATTTGTGCCAAGATCCTCTCTGTACCTATGGTTTAAATTGATTTGACGTCTCCATGAGACTAGTTGATGTGACTTATCAACTTTATGTCAATTCAACTTAGGAGAAACAAGCTGTCCGCCCACTGTATAGACGCGGCTGATTGACGCTTAAGAGCGGACGCCTCATACCGTCAGATGTATACATGTTTCCCACATCCAACGGCCCATCCCACCTATAAATACCCAAGGTTTGGCAAGAGGCAAAGGTAATGAAACTCCTACGACATAGCACTCCATAGCAAGTTTATATATTTTTTCCTCCCCCTTATTATTATTTGTCACAATCCCTGGGTACTGTTCCGACCACCTAAACCTGACTTGACCGTAGAAGTGTATACGGTTGCCACCATCTCTGCTGGTCCCTATCGTGCGCGTCTGACCGTGCGTTGATTGTGCGCAGGGAGGAATACATGGAGTAGCTATCGGTTGGCTACGTGAAAGGTCCAATTTTCAAGGTCAACAGATTGGCGCCGTCCGTGGGAAATATTTCCCCTACAAAGCTCTGCATTCTCCATCGGAGAAGTTACCGGAAAACTAGCGACTAAACCTGAAAAGGGCACGTTCTTGAAAAAGAACAAAGTCGAGTTACAATCCAAGTTCGCACCACCCTTGAAAAAGGAGATAGGATGAGCTATAGCCATGAAGACGACAACCCCATGAGAGAGGCTTCTGAAGAAGAGGTACTCCATAACAATGTTACTCATCAGAGACCACACCAC